TGAGTAGAGGCGGTTTTTAAAGGGATCTGAACGCCCTGAGGCTGGACAGCCTCGGCGAATTAGCTCTAACGGTCCAAGGACCCAAATAATAGGGTTTTAGGGCCCAAATACCATTAATATTATAGTGTTTGGGCCCTAAAACCCTATTATTTGGGTCCTTGGACCCTTAGGGTTAGGGTAATGTACACAAAGCGAAAAATCTAAGAAACGATCTCCTCCCTGGTGCTTAGGAGGGAATCGGGCAATGGATTATGGGGATTATATAGGGACTACTATAGGGATCCATTCCCACATTCCCTCCTAAGCCCAAGGGAGTCTTTATGAGTACATGTTCGTGAGCTGCGGGTGCCGCAAGATTCAGGAGCTTGAGGTCTCCCCAGGAAAATCGCGATCAGTCATGCCTGGGGTTAAGTCTCATGGATACGTCATTTCTTGCGTCCACCCGGACCAACCATTGCTTTTTTACAGTAGAAACCAGAACAAATGATCCTAAGCAATTCTGCAACATGCTGTGCTGAGTACAATAAACAGCGCCAAATGTGGTGCCAGAACTTCTCCGAAGCTCGGCAGAATTTCAGTGGCTCAGACATGACGGTCGTATGTAGGGCTTACCAGGACCCACACTGCCGTGAGCACTTAAAACGTCGTGACCCCAACCTTAAGATGTACTGCGCGAAAACATGAAGCACCGAATCACAGACTTCCGGGCTCTGCCTAGGGACCTTCATGCCACTTGGCATACCCACACCATGCTCAAGCAACCTACGCCGCCATGTCCAAAAAGCTCCGCTCGAAAAGCCAAGCAAAATTCTCGGACAGGAGAGAGACGCTTCTAAAAATCCTAGTACACCAGTATAAATCTCGCCCCATGCCACCTGTATAGTCCCCTGCCCTTACCTCCCCCTCCCAGATACCAAAATGCTGATACACAATTATTTTGGCCCCTACATCTAAACATGGGAGAAACGCATGGCCCGGGCCTAGTAGTAGCCCATGGCCATGTGGGGGGCGCGAATCTTCTTCGTGGGTCGGGGGAAGGGTTTGCGGACGCCGTGCTTGAAGATGACTGGCCTTGTCGGATATGACATGCGCTATGTGAGCTTCAGCCATATTTCCCTAGAAGCGCAGGTACCCATATAGTAGGTCCTTGCGTTATAGATAATATAAATATATATAGGGACTTAAGGACAGGAACCCAATGTATATAGGTACCTGGGCTTCTAAGGTTTCCTACATAATCTAATGGACATGGGCTCCCGATTCAGGACTATATTATAATCTTTATAATCCCCTTAAGTAGATAGAATCTGGCTTTGGGTATGTTATAATGAGATCCCCATATATCCAATATTCTATCTACTGAAAGGGGGACCATAGTTTCGGCTTTCTATTGGAAGTCCCTAGAGGAGGGGTTCCGTTGAGTGTTGTATGAAGAGGCAGTTGAGGAACTGCTTGGCATTATACTGTGGATAGAAGAATTTTGGAGCACCTTACATGCCCTGTACAGGGAATTTGGTAGAGCATTTTGGGGCACATGACTTTGAAGCCATATAAAGGCGGGTAGCAGCTTCCTTGGTACTCTCATAAGGACTCCACTCAGACTCCAATAACTTACAGAATCGAATATACGGCCTATCAACCTGTAAACTACCCGCCTGTGATGGGCTTCCACAAGTAGTGCAAGAATTCTTCCACCCACGGTAGGTTCGTATCTCTTTGCGCCTTGTGTGCTTCTCGAACCACAATCAACACTTCGCAAACCTTGAAAATTGGCTTTGGTAGAGGCGGCTCAACCCTGCCTTCTAAGATTGTCGGAATTACCCGAGCACATCCCTGGACCCCACAAATAGCGATAAGAATGGTGCATATACCCACGATTTCCAGGTTGAGGGCTACTATTCTGCGCATTTTGAAGGTCCAGGTCGGTGGCTAGAACTCTGGAACAATAATGGAAATCAGATGAATGAGGAGAAGGCCATGAAATTCAAGCTCAGATTCTCTAGGGGTTTATAGAAATTGTAAAATTTAGGGGTATCTCCTAACATAACTTACTGTACAAGGAACTTAGAACGGTAGAAGGTATTCTAAATTGTCCCCTAAACCCTAAACCCTAAACCCAATTAGGAATCTACATTAGAGCCCACCATTCGTAACAGGAATCTAGGTTGAACATCCCTTTCCTTCGCTTGGCTTGGGAATAGAAAATGGCTTGGCTTCCTCAGGGTTTAGGGTTTAAGGTTCAGGGTCTAGGGTTTAAGGTTTAGGGTTTAAGGTTTAGGGTTTAGGGTGTAAGGTTTAGGGTGTAAGGTTTAAAGTCGTACCCGCCCCTTTTGCCGCAGGTCCTTGTAAGGTGGGCAATATAAATAGGCAAGTGGAGACATCGTGGCGTTTGAAGGCAATCGCTGGTGTTTGCATACCCGGGAGGACCCCAATACCCCAATATACTAGAATCCTCACCGCAAGGACTCACAAACTGTCTTCCTGCTAAACCTGTAATCAACCATCTTACAATGCGCAACAAGGAAAATAACTCCTAAGGAGACCCCAGCCAAAAAAGGACTCCTAAATTATGAAAACCCTAAACCCTAAAC